CAAGTCAGGAGGGTGAGTTGTTTAGAAGTGAATGTGCAGGTGTTTATTTTTCCCCATGCATGTTTCCCTTGTCCTTCTAGATGGTAGGCATTGAGGGTTTGGAGGTGTTATCTAAGGAGTTTATAAGTTCTTGTGATTAATTTTGTAGATGGTACACAATGCTGCCAATGTCTGCTAGTTGTGGCAAAGAGAAGAATATTGAATGTGGTACATGGGGTGCAAACCAAGCTGGGTCATTTTGTTCTGGATGGAAACAAGACTCTGGATTGCATTTATGGAGCCAAGTGGAAAGATTACCCTCATATTACTGTTTTGTGCCTTGAAGATGCAGGACAGGCATTGGGAGACTGGAAGTGAATTATTCACCACAGAATTCCCTGCTTCTGACTTGGCCTCATAGCTATAGTATTTATATGACTTGTTCAAGGTCAGTCTCTGTCAACTGTAAATCCAAGTCTGTTGACAAAAAGGTATTCAGTGATAGTAATGACATTGAACATTAATAGGCAATGATTAGATTATTTCCTGTTAGGGATGATCATTGCCTGGCAGTTGCTTGCCATGAATGTTACATGCAACTTATCAACCCAAGTCTGGATGTTGTCCAAGTTTTGTTGTACATTACGACGGACTGCTTCAGTGTCTGAAGATTAACAAGCGGTGTTGAACTTTGTCCTATCAATGAACATCTCCACTCCTAACTTTTTGACAGTGCGAACGTCATTAATGAAGCAAGTGAAAATGGACACTACTCTGAAGAACTTCTGCTGTAATGTCTTGGGGCTAGGATAATTAACCAGGGCTAGTTATTCCATCCTCTGGCCTGCCCTTGCCCCCCTAAGCCATATGCCCCCTGAACAAACACAGCAGTAATGCCCCCGATTTGAGCACAGGGGCCCCAGGCCTAGTCACTGGACCATGCTTATTCTTCCTCATCACCTGCCCCAAGTTCTGTTGTTAACTGTCAAAAGTTACAGCTATCCTCCACTCTCACAGGTATTACTCCAATCAGTAGAGAGGTTTTCCCTTAATTCTCAATGATTCCAGCTTTAAAAGTGCTCCTTCATGCCATACTTGGTCAAGTGCAGTGTCATGTAGTCATAGGCAGTCACTCTCACTGTACCTCTGGAATTCTAACCTTTTGTCCATGTTTGATCCAATGCCATACTGAGGTCAGGAGCTGAATGGCCCTGGAAGAACCCAAGTTCTGTCAGTGAGCAGGTTATTAAGTTTCAAAGTCAGTTGACAGCAATATTGATGACTCCTTCTCTTACTTTGGTGCTGTTCAAGTGTAAATTGATAGGGTAGTAATTGGCTGAGTTGGAAACCCCTACTCTTTTTCTGCAGACAGGATACACCTAAACATTTTCCACATGGTTGGATAGAGACCAATGTATTTACATGGGAACAGCATGGTATAGGTGCATTTAGTCCAGAGCACAAGGCTTTAGTAGGGTTGTCAGAATGTAATCAGGGCCCATAGTCTTTATAGTATCCAGTGTCCTCAGTTGTTCCATGATAACATATGGACTAAGTCAAACTTAACGACTGGCATCTGTAATGCTGGGGACCGCTGGAGGAGGTTCAGCTAGATCATCCACTCACTGTTTCTCTTTAGAAATGTTGCAAATACTTCAGACTTGTCTTTTGCGCTGACGTGGTGAGATCCGCAAGGTAATATTTTTAAATATAATTTGCTTACACAAAACTTACGGTCTCGGCCTCGTCAACTTCTTTTTTTCCCCGAAATGCCTTACTATATTATCTTTAATAATAGCTTTAATATCTTCCATATTGTAGCTTAACATCTATAATTTCCTCTTTCTGTCTCCCACCATTTTTAAATAGAAAAGTTTTGATCACTATTTTCCAAACTCAATGGAACCTTGTGTGAATCTGCTGAATTTTGGAAAATTAAAACCAATGCATCAACTATCTATTAGCTACTTTCTCAACCCCCCTGCCCCAAGAACCAAGGATGAATTCCTGGACCTGGGAACTTGTGAGCTCCAACACTTTGTAATTTTTTGGAGTTCATCCCTCCCTTCCATTTTCAGAGATACAGCTAATTCTTGGAATTTCCTTGTATACTTGATAGAAAACTGAAGCAAAATACCTGTTCCATTCATCTGCTGTATCTTTACTTTCCACTATTAATTCCCCAACTTACTTTTACAGGACCAATATTCACTATGTTAACTCTACTCTAAATATTTACAAAAACTCTTTATTTCTAGATCCCTTTCTCATATTATAATTTTTCTCATTAATTTTTTAGTCAATTTTCCTTTTTGTAAATATTCTGTCCAATAGTACATGTACGTACAAATTAGGCAGTGGAAAAAAGGTGACATGGTCCCTTGAGACTGCTCAGCCATTTGATATGAACACAGCTGATGGAATGCTCCACATTCCCGTCAATTTGATAAAATCTTGATAAACAAGGGGGTGAAAGGTTATCTACTTCTTCCTTTAAAATAGTCCAAGAAAAGAATTCCAAGGATTCATGACCAGCTATGAGAAAAAACAAATCATTTGTCTTAAATTCTGACCTGCCATCCACCTTTGTGCAATCACATCTTTTCTTTAACGTTTGATGCTGCCTTGAAATTATTCATTTAACCGCTCATGTTAGGCTTAGAATTTTCCTCTTTTGTAAATTTTCGTGTATTCTATAACTTTAAATGCCTCTCCCTGCATCTCCACTGACCAATTCCTGAATCTCATTTGCCAGTTTGTGTGGGCTAGTTCCGTCTTCTTACTCTCATAAGTGCCCTTGTTTAACTTAAAACACTCATCTTGGATCCACTCATTTTTTCATCAAGGAGGATGAATTTTACATTCAGCTTATGATCTCAGTTACCACTGTGCTTTGACGAGGTCATTAACTAATCCTATCTCATTACACAATAGCAGGCCTGATATCTCAAATACCCCCAAATGTGCTCTAAGAAACTATCCTGAAAGCAATTTATGAACTCCTCCTCCAGTTAACTTTGCCCTTCTCTTTTTTCCAGATGATATACATATTAAAATATCACACAATTATTGTCATTCCTTTCTGACAAACTACCCCCCCCCCCCCGGCCACCATTTCATACTTCATATTCATCCTAACTTGTTGTTACGGTTAAGCAGCATGTTCACCACTCCCACAAGTGAATTCTTGACTGGACAAACGTTTCAACTGCACTTTGCAGTGAAGAATTCTTTTTTAATTGTAGGAAAACAAAGTCAAAAGGCAGGAGTATAAAATTCTGCCAAAAAATAGTCACTGTCATTTCTCTCATGACCTAAACCACTTCTTTGTTCTGGTTGCCCAAATTTAGGCCATCCTTCTCTATTGTGCTAATGTCATGGTCAATTAACAGAGCTGTTGTTCCACTCTTCCTAGTCTCCGTTTTGTCTAAATCTCCAGTAACCTTCAAAATTCAGGTCACAATCTATGTCATCCTGCAGCCATATCTCTGTTATGACCATTAATTTGTTGTTACTTATGTCTATTTGCGCTACCCATTCAGTGGTTTTGTTTCAACTATTATGTATGCTGAGATGAACAGCCTTATTTTTATTTATTGTCTATCCCTAGATGCCCTTGAGAAGGTAGTGGCAAGCTGCCTTCTTGACCCGTTGCAGTCCATGTGTTGTAGGTAGACCCACCATGCCCTTAACAGCATCAGCGCAATTTAATGTTTATGCTGAAGTTCTTGCTGACGATAGCATGAAACCAAGTAAGCAAAAAATCTACCTGAAGACTAAACATCCTCACCTCAAAGGTGAGGCAGTATCAATTGAACGTACTGATCAAGGAAATAAGCTTGCTGTCTCATGGTAACGTTTTGGCAGAATGTGGGAGTGCAAAAAAATGTTACATGCTTTTAAATGACGTTGAATCACCACTTAATTTCCTGAAACATAGTTCATAGATTTTACTGGGTGACATATTTAAAAAGGCTCAATAAACTTAGCCTTAGTTTGTGAGGTGAAAACTGCAATATTTCACCATGCATGAAGTACAGAGCTTTGTTTAAAAAAAATGTTTAGCTATTAACTGGGACCTATGTTCTGCAAAAAAAATGTTAATATACTTCCAACATTGTTCTGTAGTTATGGATTGCCAACTGCTATAACTCAAAAGCTAAAATAAATTATGAACAGAATTCCATATATTTATCAAGACATAAATTAACCGTAGGCATGCAAAATCCATGCCAAAGTGATTTTTGGTCAACAAAATCGATGTCAAGTCAACAGAAGTGGATTGACATTGCGGGTGACTATTTTTTGACTGAATTTTATACTGCTTTTTGGTTTTGCTTTTTTACAATTCCTCATCACAAAGTGCAGTTGATACACTTGTCCAGTTTGCTGTAAACTGGGACTTTCCTCATTTACTTGCATCAGGAACAGATACAGAAGACACTTAAAAGAGGAGCCTTACTTGTCATTGAGACTCCAAAATGAAGCTAAGATTTTGCAAATTCTACACTTGTGTAACAAACTCAACCTACGTAATGAGACATTAGCTACACTTTTGTTTTTATTTCCATTCCAAACAATACATTGCTTGTGTCTTGAAAAAATACACAGGTAAAAGAGGTATTCATCGGAAGCATTAAACAAATTCATTAATTATCCAGCAAGCCCAATCTTTGACCTCTTTGGAAAAGACAACTGTGTGCAGCATAAACAGTCTCCTAATTCAAGATCACTAATTTTGTACTGGAGACTAAGCCTTTCTTCAATTTTATCTTAGGATGTGTGACCAGATGAGATGTGGATCATCAAAGAGAAACTCAACAATCTCAAGGCTCAAAATCTGCTGGCTTAGTGTATAACTTCACTTCAAACGAAGTTGACACACATGTTCCCAAATTTAATTACCACCAAAAAAGACATGCCACTATGTTAGCAACAGCCATATATTACAAACGTAAGATCGTCAAAGAAATTAAATATAGACTGCATTGTGGAAATATAGACTGTATTTGAAAACATACCACACGGTCTTGGTCTTGCATGAGATTAAGGATAGCCTCGTACAACATTGGTCTTAATTCTGATTTAAATTTTACTGAGATCCATTGACCAATCAACCAAATCACCCTCCGCCGAATAAGTTTGTATCTGTACATTAAAAAAAAGACAATTACATATTAGTAACCTATTAAAAATGTTGATCTCAAACAAATGACCAAATCATAAAAAACCCTGCAAAGCTATCAAATTAATTTAGTTACTGCTACAGTGCCTTGTCAGATCTATTTCTAGAAGAGCGGAGTGAATTTTTTGAAAATGGTTCATCGTGAAATATTATTATTGCTGGAAAGCTTGGGTTCTAAACTGAAGGAATAACACACATCATTGAACCATATAAAACAGATGAGGCCATTCAGTCCATTAAGTCTGTACCATCACAAATACAATACTACTTACACTAGGCCCATTGACTTGAATGTAACGACACATCCAAGGGTTCATCCAAGTTTTTTTTTTAAAGCTTTCCCGCCTCAACTACTCTCGCAGGCAATGTATTCCAGACACTCAACACCTTCTGTGTGAAAATATTTTTCCTTAAATACCCGTTAAACTTCATGCCTCTCACTTAAAAATTATGTCTCCTTGGTACTGACCCTGCAGCAAAGGAGAACAGCTGCTTTCTATTCATCCTCTACATGCCCCTCATCATCATATACAACTCTAACAATCCCCCTTCAACCTCTCTGCTCAAAAGACAACAGCCTGAGCATGTCCAGCTTCTCCTCATAGTTGAATTGCTCCATCCCAGGCAACATACTGGTGAATCTCCTTTGGGCCTTCTCCAGCACAATCACATCCTTCCCGTAGTGTTGTGACCTAAACCCCAGACAGTACTCCGACTGCGGCGCTGTACAGTTCTAAAATAACGTCCAGGCTCTTTCAATCTCTGCCATGACTGATAAAGGCATGCATCCCAAATGCCTCAACTACCCATTAACCTTTCAGAAATCTGTGGACAAGCACCCAAAGGTCCAATTAACTATTTCCTTGTCTTGTTCCTCACATATATCAGGTTAAATTCTATCTGCCACTGATCAGTCCATTTGACCAATCAGTTTATATCTTCCTGTCGAATGTGTCATCTGCAAACTTATCATCCCTCCCACATTTTCATCTACACATAAGGATATTATTAAATTGGAGAGGGTTCAGAAAAGGTTCAGAAGGATTTTGTTGGGACTGGAGGGCTTGAATTATAAGGAGAGGCTGTATAGGTTGGGACTTTTTTTTTTTTTTTACAGGGGTGTAGGTGGTTTAGGGGTGACCTTATAGAGGTTTACAGAATCATGGGAGGGTGGCATAGATAAGGTGAATAACATGGTCTTTTCCCTAGGGTAGGGGAATTCAAAACTAGAAGGCACAGTTTAAAGATGAAAGGGAAAGACGAAGAAGTGACCTGAGGGGCAACATTTTCACACAGAGGTTCGTACATGGAATGAACTGCCAGAGGAAGTGGTAGATGCAGGTACAGTTACAAAACTTAAAAGACATTTGGACAGGTATATGAGTGGAAATGGTTAGAGGGATATAGTCCAAATGCAGGCAAGTGGGACTAGTTTAGTTTGGGAAACTTGGTCAGCATGGACGAGTTGGATCCGTGCTTTATGAGTCTATTACTACATTAATGAATATCACAATCAAAAAGGGACCCAGCACTGATCCCTGTGGTTCACCACTGCACACAAACAAACAAACAAACAAACAAACAAACAATCTCTTATCGCTAAGCCAATTTTAGATCCATCTTGCCAAGTCACCTTGGATCCCATGAGTTTTGGACTTCTTTATCGGTTTCCCACATGGGACCTTGTCAAAGGCTTTGCTGAAATCCATATAAACTACATCAACCACTTCATCAAAACATTTGGTCATCTCCTTGAAGAATTCCACCAGATTTGTAAGAACTCCACCTGTCACAGCCATGCTGACTATACCTGAGCAAACCTTATCTCTCTAAATGGATATTAATTTTCTACTTCACTATTTTCTCCAATTGTTTGCCTACCACTTATGTTAGATTCATAGGTACATAGTATCCTGGTCTATCTCTACCACCCTTCTTGTGAAGATGAACCACTGTCCTCCAATCCTCAGGAACCTCCCCTGTGGCCAGAGACAAGTGAAATATTTGGGCCAGGGCCCCTGCAATTTCCTCCCTCATCTCCCACAAAAGCCTGGGATATAACTCATCCAGACCCGGGCATGTGGCCACTTTTTAATCTGCCAAAACTTCCAATATATCCTTGCCTCTTATTTTAATCTGGTCAAGAACTTTACAGTCCATTTTATCAAATTCTGTACTTGCATCCTTCTTCTCCTGAGGAAAAGCAGATGTGAAGTACTCTTCTTAAACAGTCTACTGATGTCCTCTGGCTTCACACACACCGTCTCCTTGCTTCCTAACAAGCCCTAACGTTTCTCTGAGACAGCAAGAACTGCAGATGTTGGAGTCAGAGATAACACAGTCTGGACCTCGAGGAACACAGCAGGCCTGGCAGCATCAGAGGAGCAGGAAAGTTGACGTTTCAGGTTGGGACCCTTCTTCAGAAATGGGCAGGGGGAAGGGAATTCAGAAATAAATAGAGAGGAGGGGTGGGGCTGGGGAAGGTAGGTGGATGGTGATAGATGAGTACAGGTAGTGAGTGGTAGGGATTGGTCAGTGGAATGGGTGGGGCAGATAAGTGGGAGAGAAGAGGGACAGGTTGTGCCAGGTCAAGGAGGAGGGGTTGAGAGGGAGGGTTGTATATGGGATGAGGCCAGCGGTGGGGAGATTTTAAAACTGGTGAATTCCATGTTTAGACCATCAAGATGTAGGGTCCTAAGGCGGAATATGAGGTATTGCTCCTCCAGTTTGCGGGTGGTATCACTGTGGCACTGGAGGAGGCGCAAGATGGACATATCACCCAGGGAGTGGGAGGGGGAGTTAAAATCCCAGGGAGGGATGCATTTTTATCTGTTATTCTGTTTGTTTCATTTTATATCCTGTTATGTAGTGTAGTCTTGGCACAGGTGGCAGGTATCCATGTGGTCAGTTTGGTCTTTAACTTAGTCCAGTATTGCTTCTTGGCATCTCTGATGGCCTTGCAGATGTCCTATCTGGACTTCTCATAAAGGTCTGGACTGTCTGACCTGAATGCTTGGTCTTCAGTAGGCTGTGGATTTCCCAGTTCAATCATGGTTTCCGGATTGACTTCTTTGGCACGCAGTCCTCTACACACTTGCCAATGAAGTCTATGACAGTGGTGGCATACTTGCCTAGGTTGGCCCCTGAATTCTTGAATATGGACCAGTCCACCGAATCCAAGCAGCCCTGCAGAAGTTCTTCTGCTGCCTCAGACAAGCAATGTACTACTTTCTGTGCTGGGTCTTCACGTTTCAACTTCTGTTGGTAAGCTGGGAGGAGGAACACAGTGTTGTGATCTGATTTTCGAAAGTATAGAGGGGGTATGGAGCGGTAGGCATCCTTGACAGTTGTGTAGCAATGGTCAAGGATGTTTGACCCTTGCAGGGACAGGAGATGTGTTGATGGTATCTTGTTGCACCCTCTTGACCTGGTTAAAGTCGCTGGCTACAATGAATAAAGCTTCAGGGAATTTCATCTCAAGTGTATTTGTAGCAGTTCGACCAAACAGTCTGTTTCCGTGCTGCATAACTCTGTCTCAATGACCCAGCCTCAACAGCCCTCTGTATTAATGAATTCCACAGATTCACAACCCTCTGAGTAAAGAAATTCCGCCTCATCTCTTAAATGTGTGACCCCTTATTGACACTACTCACTTCTAAGTCTTGATTCAGCCATAGCAAAATATCTCTCTGACACTGGATTAGAAGTTTGTGAAAAGGCTAGTTCAACTGTAACTGAGAGTTCTGGTTCAATTACAATGCTCTCAATCATCTTCACACGGATGACAATGAAAAACAAGGATCCAAGAAGGAAGCAGTCATTTGCATTAGAGAATAGAGGAATTAGAGAATGTGTTCATATTGAACTGTGGAATTATTTGTTAGATCAACACCACAAAATGAACAAAAGCCTAAAGATTCAGAGATTGATCTTAGTACATATGCAAACTTTTACAATTCATTCTCTCATTTTGAGAGTGAAATCCAGGAAAGTTTTTATGAAATTGAACTCAAAGCAAAAGAAAATCTGTTTGGTGTAGTCTACAAGTGTGTGGATAAAAGAAAAAAATTGAAAATAAGAAGCCACTGATGGCAATGCACTTAATATTGATGAAACACTTTTCTAAGAGTCAAGCTTTGAGCAGAATCTTTTATTCCTTTGATGGATGCACTTAAAAACAACTTGAAGATAAGAGCATATACAAGAATGCTGCAAACAATTTTTCATTTTTTAGTTTCTTTACATAGCTTAGATAAACAACTGTGTGAAGTTGTAAAGCATCTAATGAAAGATTAGCCGATGTTGCTGGAGAAATAAAGAGATTTCAAAGTTCCATCCAGGACAATTATTCAAACGAAAGGACAATTAAGTCTTTACCACCTGTATCAAGCCATCATCTAAGATAAGATTCATTTGGCTTTCCTTGATGTAAAAGCAAGATTGCAAAGGTTTGATCTTTCATTGCCCTCCTTGGATTCAACCTCCGTACAAGGCCATTCTGCTATTCTTTCAACACTTACGCCAATAAACGTATCATAAACTAACCAGCTTCTCCTCATGATAAGGTTATTCTGCCAACGGATATACGGGTATTCACCTTTCTTTCAATTCTGCTGCAATCATCCTTTTAAAAATGAACAAATCCTTGACCCCTCTATGCTTTTAAACTACCACATCTTCGCATCACATTCCTGTCCAAAGGTTTTAAGCATATTGTACCATTAAAAATACATGTCTTTCCTTTCCTCCACTCCGCGTTTAAAATCTCTCCAGTCAGGTATCCATGTTTCTAAAGTACCGAAACAGCCAAATCCAAATTAATACATCGCTTTAGCTGGCCTGTTAGATCTCTACATAGCAAGATACAAAGGGCTACAAATAAAAACCTGGGATGATGATTTTTTTCTATTCCAAGGAAGAGGTAGATAAGTAAAATTACTGATCAAACACATCAGGGCAAGTC